AATAGCATCTTTTCTGGAATGTGAGTGCAGCTGGTGTGCTCAGTCAAAATGTTCACAAAACTAAAACAAAGCTCGGATAAAAAAAAAAGTGCACCCTCGAGAGCCGCACAAAAATGACACTTCGAATTAGTGTTCAAAAGGTTCACATTTTTACGTCACAAAGGTAACAAATAATGGAACTATGATCTACCGCATAAAAACAAAAAGAAATATGGCAAAACTTCTGCTGAATGAACAAAAGCGAAGATCGGGGAGGAAGGAACAACCGAAAATTGACCTAAATAGCAGCTGATAAAAAACAGCTACTCGCCAGTAAGTTTGTTGATGGATCCCTCTTTCGAGGACTGCTTCAGCAGTAAGTTGAAAAAGAGTTGCGTGCCAGTGCCAATTTACCACAGAAATCAACTAAAGGATTGCATAAATCCTAGTTTCCTGTCTAGAAACGATAGCTGGGACCCCAAGAATGGGTTCAGATCAATAACAGGTGGCTAAAGCCTAAAAGCAGATCGACCTAGAACATCGAAACATATTACATATGTATGCGTTGCTAATTTAGTCATATACTACCAAGACCACTCGGGCTGCCAGTGTGTGTATGTCCTGCTAGCGTATAAGTTAAGCGCAACTTAGTTATACGCTGAGTGCAGTTTAGTTATGTATAAGCATAACTTTTATTTCTTACTATCCATATTTCATACGGGTTCTTTATTTTTTTTTACATTCAACTACTTGTAGCTTCTAAAATAAGAGCCGCTTGGAACCGACGGCTGAGACTTTTTACTAGATATGCTGCAAAAGGAAGAAAGTGCTATTATCAGCAAAGAATAAAACTGTAGGCTGAACTCCTTCGCCTCGCCCAGATGCCCCATCAGGTGCCGATAGCTGAGCCTCAAAGTTAGGTATCACTAAGCTTATACTTCTCCGAGAATCACCGAAGTAGCAAAAAGTTAAAAAAAGAACAAATTAAAATTGATACAACAAAACTCAAAAACAAAGCTCCCCCGTATTCACGCTCTATGAAAAGTAAATGAATCCGAGCAATTTGTCGAGGGTAGTAAGTGCCAACAGCAACCCCCTTTTA